TTTTTATTTTTGCCCTCTATATCTGTTGACCTCTTGAAAGTACATTGTGTTCAATTCCTTCCTTTCATCTGCTACCCAGTTTATTTCTTCATGAAATTAAAGCTGTTTGTTTGAGTGGCTTCTATGTCTTTGAAACTTTTAGATCTTCTACCTATTATTAATGATTTAGAATTTTTCACCTTACTTGTGTTGGTCTAAATTCCTTAATAAGTAAAGCACAAAGACAGAAAAGTATGAGGAGTAAGGGTAGACTCAAGTAGATATCGAATGGAACCACACAAGTTTAAGAATTATGTAAACCTGTCCCAAGGTACTAATGAAGGAAGAGTCCTTGAAACCAACTTCCCTGTTGGCATCATGTGCAGGAGATGAACACCAGATACCTCAAACTGCCATTTATTGGCTAGCTCCTAACAATTGAGGGGAAAAAGCAAAAAATAAGCCAGAAATGCAAGAGGCTGAGGAGAAACAGTAATGAACTTTTGAAGAAGGACTCAGAAACCAAATACAAAAGAGAGGGTTTAGTGAACAGATTGGGGATCAGCATCCACCAAACAGGAGAAAACTACACCACCCACCCTACCTTCAGTGCCCCCTTCCCCCTTCTTCAGTGGCGGCATTGTGAAGTGTCTGTGTGTCATTTTGCAAATACACACACACACCAGTGATCTGTGAGTGAATTGGCATCGCAAATGGAACCTGACCATTCCCAGCCTTCAAATATTAGATTTTCTCCAACCTCATCCATCCCAACTCCCCTTTATCCTTTATCATGGATACTTTAACGAAGGAACCTGATAACTTCACCCTGTCTGATTCACCCCTGTTAGCTTCAGTCTCTAGGGTGGAGTTGGTTTGGCCCCTTCTTCAAACAACTGAAAAGAAACTTAAATTAAAAGGAAAGGGGAGGATGGGAGAAGCCCACAATTTAGGGAGGGGAAAGAGTTGAACAAATGATTTTTTTTTTAATCACTGATTTTCATTTCAAGTCGATTGAGCAAGAGAGCAAGCCAGCTACCTATAATGAAAGTTTGTGGGCACTGGTTTGTTCTGTAGGGGCTGCAACCTTTTTGCAGCAGAAATTGTGTGGCCTCTCATGCTATTAGCCTTGTGCTGTGGTGGTGCCAACTGATTTCTCCAATTCTCTTTTCTCAGTGGGCTAGAATGCAGCTGATTAAATAGGCCGTGACTCACATAAGCTCCCGTGTCTTTTTTATTGACTGCTTTACGGAAATGTATCACACTCCAAAGGGTCCCCATTGTTGTCGCTGTGCATGGCTGGCTGAGGAGTCATGTTTAGTGCTGAGAGATGGACTCCTACTCTGTCGTTTTTTACTGCATAGTTGGTATGGGTGGGATACAAGAGTTTAAAGGAATCTGGATGAGGAGAATAAGATGACTGAGAAATTCTTTTATCTTCACCTGCCATAAAAGTTGGGTGGCCATCACTTCTGGATAACACGCTTCTCTGTTGATCTTATCTGTATGGCCCCACATCCTTCAGCTAGGTGAATTTTTTCTTTATATGGGCCGTTCTGAGAGATTTAGTTAAGTGCCATGGTTGAGAGAGATTATGACACTGATATAATTCTGTTTTGTGCAGATATAATATGATACCCCCTTAGGTTTCTCCAAAGGGCCATTTATTCCCAATAAATCTAAATCATTTCTATTTTTTAAATTAATATCTTTTTTCAGGTAATGGACAAGAAGCCTCAATTTTTTAAAAAATTGTATACTTAAATATAAATGTTTTTGCATTAAAACAGTAAGTCATGCAATTGTTTGTAGCTTGTTCCTATTTTTATTACCATCCTACAAGGTATTTACATACTTGCTATTACACGTTAAGGAGCTCTGCTGATCTGGTTCATTTGCCAGTAGGTGTGAATTCAGGCATACAGGACTCCTCCTGCCTCACCACCCGGGACTGTGGCTAACATGTGTATCCTCCGGATCACCAGTTCTTCATCAGTGGGACCCTCAGCTGACACTGAAAGAGGAGATAGCTTGATTGCCACAGCAGCTTCCCATCTAGGATTGGGACAGATCTGGATCCCATCTGAATTTATCTGATAGATTGTGGAGCAAATGGCATTGAGCTCAGGGTCAGCCTT